CCCGAGGGCAGACACGCCTTTGCCAGCTGAATCCAGTCCGCGGGGGTGAGGGGCCCAGAAGACAGATTCTCCAGCATGGCAATGGTGTAAGGCGCAGTCGGCCCAAAGGTTGTAACTGCATTTTTAAGTTCTCTAATCTGCTTTATCTCAAAAGGCTCCCATACATTGCGTCCCTGGCCCATAGCTACTTGTATAGGAAATATCCCGTAGGGGCCACTATCTATCCCAGGTGGATGTACCTCATGAGACAAGCGTCCCCCCTGCCAAAGCCGCCTGTAAAAATACCGACCCGCCGGCGGCGGAGCATAAGACAGCGGCCGTGATTGGGCGGAAAATGGGGGCCCGTGCATCACTTCCTGTTCTGGCGAAAGGGGAGAGAGCTCCCAGGCGGCCGCCTCGTGGTGAGGAATCGCCTCCGGAAACGGCCCCCAAGGTGGGGCGGAAGGCTTCGCCTCCCTCTCGCGCCGGGGAGCGCTCAGGAGCTCTCTACTCCTCCGCAGACCAGGTTGAGCAGAGCGCAATTCGCGGGGCAACGCTGGAAAAGAACCCTGCAACTCCTTATTGAGCGATTTAGGCTCCTGACAGCTGGTCTCTTTGGCCTCCTTGCCATTCAACTTTCCCTCGTCCTCGGAGTCAGACGACTCCGAGGCTAGAGCCCCGTCCTCCTCCTTAGCATCCTTGTTCCCCTTGACGGACCCCTCTCGGGAGCTCCCTGACTGGGCCTGCTCAGATACCCTGCGTACTTTTGTAAGCTCTTGAGAGCTTTCTCCACAACCACCCTCGCTCTTAGTGTTGCTACCTAACATGTTTCCCATCTTTTAATATGTTACTCACCGCGTGAGGCCCAAGGAATCCGCCACTTACGCGTGAGCCTGAGGGGAGTCTAAAAGCCCTGTAGGTGCGCGCCACCCAGAGCCCAGGCTTATCCCCAACTCACCTGTCTCGCAGCTCTGTACTGGAGCGTTGTCCACTTCCACGTCTCGGGGGTGATCAGTCCCCGTACGGGCCACCAAATGTCGATGTCCGCTCCCGGCCGGCAGGAAGGACACACGACAAAGTCTGGTAGTGGACAACCTTTTCTTTTTATTTTCCTTCTCCGTACAGCCTGCCCTGGGTTCTCCCAGCTGAAGCCTCCTCTGGTCCGCTCCCCGCGGCTCCTTTTGTGCTTCAGTCTGCCCCAAAGCCTCTACCGGTCCGCTCTCCGTGGCTCCTTTTGGGCTTTTACTTCTGGGCTTCTACCTGGCTTCTTCTTCCGCCCAGGGGTGGCACCGGTATATATACGGGTACAGTGTCCAATCATGTTAAAGTAAGCAAGGCAAGCTGATTGGCTAACATCATCAGTTGCCAGGCAGACTATATTGTTGAGCGGGTTGTTTACGCGGTAAGCAGGAAACTAACATATTCGATGGGAGGGGTAACCTACCTCAGGCTTTGCTCTTTACCACAGGCCGCACGTCCGCCGCGCAAGGCGAGCTATCACAGACGCGGCTCCCAACAAGAATGAATTTTCAAATTGGGATTTCTGCCCAGCCAGTGAGTGAACTGCCTCCAAAAACAAATTTTTGCAGGAATCTCTTATTTAGAAACCTCTCCTGCACTTGCCTTACAGGATACTGCTCAGGACTGCACTAAGTGTACCAAATTGCAATTATGTCATCAAACACAAAGGTTTGTATCTTAGTGAACGCAAAACCAATCAGCACAAACCTAAAGATAAAGGAGTGAAGAAACAGTTACTGCACACTTACAAAGACGCTTGGGAGAACTCCCAAAGCTGTGCCTTCCCAAATACAGGTGAGATAGGATTATATAGCGAAACCTGCATATTGATAGCATTGTAATGAGCACAGCTGCCTCCAGCTCACCTTGAAGAATGACTCAGCATGACATGGCTGTTTTGGGCTAGCTCCTGGGTCTTTCTCTGAAGGGACTTACCTGAAATAACCAAACTCTTGAAGAAATGTTAGTACTCAAAGGACAACAGGTTGCTTCACCCCATGCAAGCATATGCATTGCCCCGAACAGCTTTGCCTAGAAACTAACATTTTAACCTCTATGTCCATCTTTTTTATTTTTTAAATATTATTAATGTTTTAAGAAATGTCTGGGAATTGCATTAACCTATTACTTTCTGAATTGTGTTAGACCTATTTTTTTATCCTCTTCAAATTTAACCAAGAACTTTTCTTTTGCCATGTTTGTACCTTATTTCTAACCTCTTATTCACGTTTGTCTTGCAGTTTTAGTCATCAGAGCTCATCTACAAATTCTGCCCAGCAGACACACTTGTCATCATGAGACTTCCTCCTCCGGGTATCATAACTTGGGTACTGCTCTTTTTACATGATCATTTTATATTAATTAACTAATTTATTTATTTATTGGTACCAGGAATCAAACACACAATCCCATGCTTGCCAGGCAGGTGCTGTGCTGCTGAGCTATATCCATGGCCCTTGCATGATCATTCTAGTGATCAGCATTCCATTTTATGACAATGTCTAGATAAAGTGCACGTCAACCAGATGTTCTTGATTTTCCTCATATGTATTGTAACATAAGGATGTTTTTCTCCTTCCTGAACTTTAGAGCACACATGACAAGCTGTTTCACATTTTTTTGACCTCCTTTCCTTTTTTTAAAAATGTGCCTTCTTCTCCTTCTTCTCAGTATCATTATCATTATTTTACTACTAGAGGTTAAACCTTGAAATGCATCCCCTTACATTGAAATGGAGTCTAGCTAAGTTGCCCAGGTGGGACTTGAGGTCTGTGGCCCCTACCTGAGCCTCCTGCAGTGCCATGATTACAGATGTGTACCACCACTATGTAATACTCCTTTACATACTAAAAAATTGCTCTGTAGATACAGCTTCCTCTAAATTGTTTTTGTCTGATGAATGTCAGCTGGAATCAAAGGTCACAGAAGTGAAAGGACTCTCCTAAATTTCTCAATCTATCTCTGTGTCTTCAGGTAAACACAGTTTATTCTCATTTAATACCCAATGCCCAGAGAAGTGTCTTGTTTAAGGTCATATCTCTATTAAATAATGACTCCCACTCCTGAATTCGTTGTGGGCATAGATCCTGGAAAAGGGATAATTTTGTGTGGAAATTATCTGCGCTCAAACTTTAACCTGAAAAACTTAAGGAATGCCGATAGAGTCATTGAAAAAGTCTGTGGTAATGAAAATTATGGAAGCAGGGAGCTGTGCTCAGACACCAGTGTCAGTCATCTAACACTGCACAATAAACCACTCCAAGACTCAGGACCTTAAAACACCCTTTGTCTTGCTCATAATCAGCAGCAGCTCATCTCTGCTCCCCTCAGTGCTAACTGGAATGGTTCAGAATTTGAAAGGCAGAATTGTCAGGATCAAATGAGGCCTCAGACATCCAGGCTCTCTCTAGATGACCATTTCACATTAGCTCCCCAGAACAGCAGCTGCCGGCAAGTCAGTCTTCCTACATCCCCTTAGGAGCCCCCAGGGATGCAGCTCAAGGAAAAGAGCCAGGGGGATGTTGTGGCCTGTTAGGGCTTGTTACATTTTTGTTGCAGTTGAGAGACAAAGAGATAAGAAAAGCCTTTATTGCCGCTAGGGAGGCTTCTGGAGACTGAGGACCCTCAAATGGGACGCTGGGGAAAGGCTTTTATGGAATTGGGCTGGATCGTGGTGTTGGAAGAGGATTGGAGAAACTTTGGCACGCGGAAGAAGAGCAGGAAGTTCATTTTGGGCTTGGAAGAAGAACAGGGAAGTTAGTTTTGGAGGGACACACTGTTGTTCTAGGGCCCAGCTCCGTCTTGGGCAGGCACTGCCTTGAGTCAGGCAGAGTCCCATAGGAGTGGAACCCATCAGGACTTAGTCCTGCAAGCCATGCAGCATCCCTGCTGCCAAATTCTCCTCATCAAAACCGCTACAAAGGTATTCCCAGATTTAAAAGGCAAGGACCAGGCTGGAGATGCAGCTCAGTGGTAAACCATCTGCCAAGCACTGAGAAAGAAAATAAAAAGGTGAGCAAATAACGCTTGATGGAATGTGGATAACAAAATGTGGGCAACAAAACCATTGGAACACGTGGAACAGGAGGGTAAAAAGCACCTGAAAAGGCCGTTTGTCATTCACAAAACACATTCTGAACAATAGCTCAAAAGCCCATGCTATTGGAAATCCCTCTTTGATCAACCCAAGCTTCACAGCCCTATGTAAATGAGCTCACTGTCTCACTTGACATATTCTGTTGTAATTTTTATGCATGATTGCAATCAGACAGGTACTACTGGCCTGTTAATCAGCCAATCTGTTTTATTTGTGCCAATTAACAGTGCATAGCAAAAATTCCCTGGGTCTTTGGATTGGTGGGAAAGAGACATCTAGGGGAATCAGAAGTGACGCTTTGCACAGAAAACAAAAGACAGAAGAAGAGAAAAGCATCAGCAGCTCAGAAGAAACGCTGATCTCATCCAGTGAAATGAATGGACAAGGGGGAACCCTGCATGCCCTGCGCGACAGAATGCCCTGGAGAGACAGTGCTGAGAGAAGACACCGCCCCAAAAAGTGTTCCTCAAAGGCCCAGAATCGGGGTTATCTGGGGTCTGGGCCCTCCCACGGAGTTCCTGAGAACTCCATCGTCTCCAAGGCCAGGGACGCTGACCCTGTGATCTGGTCCCATGCTGAAGGAACCACTAGCCTGGAGGTTTAGAACTACTAGGGCCCGCAGCTGGATTCCCTGGCAAAGACGAAGCAACCCAAAGGGCCCTAAGAGGCGAGGTGCGGAAGATGACCCGAGAACATCGTGGCCCGATATCAACGGCAGGTTTCTCCGCCGCGCCTCCTCTGTCGCGGTGGCGAGCGCCCTCTCCTGGAGGTCCCAGCTGGTGTCAGCCCGGACCGCACCACGAGCCCTAGTCCCTCTGGTGGGCGTGGCCAAAATGGTTGCCCGCCATTTTTCTCCGGGGCGTGATTGGTGGGCGCCGCCTGTGCGCGGTGACGTTGTGCCTGGCGCAAAGTTTGCGAGAGGAGCGCGGGAGAGAAGCGCCGCGCGGCCCAGCGGGAGTGGCGTGGCTCGCGCCAGGGTCGTTCCGCTGCAGGCTGCCGTCCGTCCGCGGTGCTCCTCGGAGACAGTGGGCCGCCTCCTGCCTCGGGGGAGCGGGCGTGGGCGCGGCGGCAGGTCGCGGCTTGGGCTGTCCGTGGGGCCGCCGCGCTCCTGACGGAGTGGAGTGGCCGCCGAGGTGAGCGGGAACGGAGCAAGCGCTGTGCGGTGTGCTGGTGGCGCAGCCTTCGGGCGGCCTCGGAGAAACAGATCCGACCGCGCCCGGAGGACGGCCAGAACCCTGGAAGTCAGCCCGTGGGTCTCGGACCGCGGCCGCCGGTCCTGGGACCCAGTAAGCTTTTGCAGATACGTAGTAACCTGTTTTTGCAGATGAATAGCAAACACCTGGCAGGGTACTGGTCCTTTTGTTTTCATTTGATTTCTGGTTTCAGAGACGATGACGGAGGAGCTGGACCTCGCGGGACAGGACTCTGATGGGGGCAGCGAAGAAGTGGTCCTGACGCCGGCGGAGCTCATCGAGAGGCTGGAGCAGGTACGCGAACCACGCAGAGTCGGCTCTGATCTGCGTTTTGTCATTTACTCCACCTGTGCAAGTGTTGCAACTCAGAAAACGAGGGAAATGGAATTCGAGGCTTATTGCAAGAGAATAGGGACTGCATCCTAATGTCTACACAAAAACAGGAAGTGGGGAATACATCTTTTAGAAGCCTCACACTGTCAGGTGTTGGATCAGAAAGTGACAGCTTTGGGCAGCTTAAGTAGCATATTTCACCAAGCAAGGATCTACCTGATATTTACAGGGACTCTTAAGGTATACAGTAAAGACGTATGAGTTCTGTGCCTTGGTCCCTTGAAGTATCAGCTGTTTCTTCTTGGAGAATGTCTGAGTTAGGAAAAAAAAAAAATGCTGAAATACCTTCTGTACGGAACAACTGGTCACATTCTTCCTTTTCAATTTTTTGTGTAGTTTCTAAAATAACTTTCCTTCCTTTTTTTTTGTTAGTACATGTTTTTGATATATAATAAAAACATTCCTCGTGGAGAATTGGTATGTATCTCATCACATATCACATCTTGATCCTTTTTAATTTCCCTTTCCTTTTCCTCTTGCCCCCTCTCCAGATCCCATTCCCATCTCCACACAGGTTGTCTCTCTGTTTCCTGTTATCTCTTACTTTACTCTTTAAACTTTATTTTAGGTATCTTGACACCATAGTGATAAGGGATTTAAAAAACTGGTAAGTGAAATAAGCATCCATTTTCCAACAAATTTTTCAAATTTACCTTTTAAGACTAAGCAGTACTCCACTGTGTATACTTAAGCACATTTTTTTTACCCATTCTTCTGTTGCTGGATACATAGCTTGCTTCCAAAATTTAGCTGTTGTAAGTTACGCTGCTGTAAGCATGGATGTGGACGTATCATTGTAATACTTTGTCTTTAGCTCTTTGGGGAAGTTACCCGGAAGAGGTACACCTGGGTCAATGGAATTCCTATTTTTGTTTTCTGAGGAATCTCCATACTGGTTGTACTAGTTTATATTCCCACGAGTGATTTAGAAGGGTCCTTTCCCCTATAGTCTCAGCAACATTTGTTTTTTTTTTCCGAGTACTTGATGATGGCCATTCTTTCTGGAGTAAAACGGAATCTCAGTGTTGTTTTTACTCGCATTTCTCTAATGGCCAAAGATGCTGAACATTTTTTCATGTACTTATTGGCCACTTGTACTTCCTCTTTTGAGAAGTATCTGTTCATCGCAGTTGCCCATTTTTTGACTGAGCCTTTTATTTAGAGGGATTTAATTTTTTTAGTGCTTCATATATTATAGATATTAGTTCTCTGTTCAAGGCATAGCTGACAAAAAATTTTTCCCATTCGGTAGACTGTTTTTTCTCTCTGTTGGTATTTTCTTTGCTGTGCAGCAACTTTTTAATTTGATATAATCCCAATTGCTGATTCTTGGTGTTATTTCTTGTACAATTGAGATTCTGGTCAGAAAATCCATGCCAGGTATGGTAAATGTACGCCTGTAATCCCAGCATGCATTCGGAGGCTGACACAAAAGGTTTGCCATGAGTTCAAGGCCAATGAGATGCTCTCAAAGTTGTTTTAAAAAATCCTTGCCTATTCCTATGTCAAGAGTTTAACCTATTTTCCATCAGTTTAAGTGTTTCTGCTTTAAAATCTAGGTCTTCGATCCATTTTGACTTTACTTAGCACCGAGAGATGGGGCTAGATCCTTTCTTCTGTGTACATTCTGCATATGCATGACCAGTTTTCTCAGCACTGGTTGTTAAAGAAGCTATCTCTAGCGTGTGTTCTTGACTCAATTGTTGAAGCTTAGTGTTGTTTCTACTTCCAGTTATTTCATTGGTTTTTGTGTGTGTGTTTTTGTGCCAGAAAGTAATTTCTCCCAAGAGTTTGTCTATTTTGTGACCTTAAGCAATTTATATGGCTTGTCTCATTCCTCTCATTGACTTAAAATGGAGATAATGGTGCTTGCTGTGAGGAGTAATTAGGGTAGCATATGCGAAGTGCTCCATGTTACCAGACACATGGTAAGCTCTCTCTGGAGTTAGCTATTGGTACTAATCTCCCTTACCTTGAGGGCCAGGTACTGTTACTGGTAAAGAGTAAAATAAGAGATAAATAACAGGAAACAGACAGACTGCATGGAGATGGGAATGGAATCTGGAAAGGGGCATACTGGTGTACAGATGTAGAAAGTGACATTTGGAGATGTAAAGTACTTTGTTTAAGGTTACACAAGGGGAGCAAAAACAAGATGAACTCGGGTCCCTTTGATTCTAAAACATGTGCTGGGTTTGAATCCAGGACCTTGCACGTGCTATGGACATACTGTACCGCTGAGCTGCACCCTGTCCACAACAGGTGCTCTTAATTCATTACAGCTTCTCCTTTCCAGAACTTTCTCATGGGTTCACTTTCCAACATAGCAGAAAACAAAAGCTGGGAGTGTAAAATGCAAGTTGCAGAAGAAACCATTTCTATAAAGTTCACAAGTTTGAAAGGCTGTTATTCAGAACTTGTGTCCCGGGGTGACGGGACCCCCCACTGTGCTACCAGTAGCTCACAGTGTTGTTTGTTTGTTTGTTTGAGACAGGGTCTCGCTATGCAGTCGGCCTTGAGCACACTATGTAGCCCAGGTGGCCTTGAGATCATAGCGGTCCTCCTGCCTCAGCCTTCCAAGTGCTGGGGTTACAGTGTGCGCCACCACCCCTGGCCCATGCCTCAGCATTGGCCCTCTGCCCTGTTGGACAGCCGGAACCCCGGGCTGCTTGCTCTTGAGTTTTGGGCGGCCTGAAGTGCAGCACAGCTCCGGCTGTATGTGACCATGAGATCCAAGCGTGTTTGCTTCCTGCTGCCCTTCCAGTGCTGCGAGAAGCCCCGGAGGTGAGCCCCACAACACAGCGCCACAAACACACAGCATGCGGAGCAGCCTGGCGGTGGGCCTGTGGGAAGCACACTGCTGAAGGGTGTTTAAGAGCCCGTGCTGCAGTTCAGAGTCTCCCTTCATGATTGTGTTCACTTGCTACGGTTGCATAGCAAAGCTACAGATTTGGTAGCTTAAGCAACTGAAGTTTGGTTAGAGACTAAGATCAAAAGACCAACATGGTTTCTTCTGAGACCTGTTTCCTAGACTTACGGGTGCTTGTCTCCTCTCTCTGTCTTCACAAGATTTTCACTCGTATGTGCTCCTGTGACAAAACTTTTTTCCTCTTCTGAGGAGGTCAGTCATTGAATTACGACCCTTCCTAAGGACCTCGTTTTAACTGAGTTACCTCTTTAAAGACTTTGTCTTCCAAATATTGTCCCATTCAGAGGTACACGGAGTTAGAACTTCCACATACAGTTTTTATGTTTTGTTTTGTTTTGTTTTGTAATTCTGGGATAGAACCCAGGGCTTCCTGCTTGCCAGGCACCCACTCCATCACTGAGATACAGACACTTAACCCACATAGGGAGTGTTAGAGGGCCACACTGGTCAGCTCATAACAGTGATGGATAGGCTATCCTTACAAATTCAGGCCGTGGCTGGGAACGTAGCTCAGTGGTAGAGTGTACAGATGCCACAAATTATCAGGAACCAGATGTCACTACTTCAGCCATAGAGACTGATTTTTTTGATGACCATGGATTCACCAGATTTTGAAGATTTTATTTGCAAGATTTATGCAAATAGAAAACTTTTCCAAATGTTTTAAGATTATAAATGAAAGTTCTCCCCAAATCTACATTGTTTTGCCCCACCATGACATAGATGCATTATCATTTCCTTTGAGTGTCCTATCATGAAAAGGTTGGGAAGCATTTTGCAGAGATACAAACAAATGCAGTAAAAAAATTTAAACATTCAGCTCAGGCTACTGAGGAAGGAGGGACACATGGAGACTTTTAAACTGGTGACAGTGTTCTGCAGTGAAGCTGCACACACAAATACCACATCAGTGACTTCTGATAGTTCTCCAGAAGGCATGATCTGTTGTGTTCTCATTATAAAGGTTGTCTGTGTAGCTATAGGGCTGGGGTGCGGCTCAGCGGTGGAATACTAGCTTCACACGTGCGAGACCTGATTTAATCCCCAGCACACGCGTGCATACATGCACACAAAGCAACACCATTACAGAAGCTCAAGCACCCAAAGAACAATTGTAAGATTATAGGAATCCTCAGTATTTAATGATATGTCACAATGATGATTATCAATTCCCCAATCTGCAGAAGATATGAAACAGGAGGGCCGGACTCATAAAGGAGCATTAAATCTCATGTTCCCACACCTTGAAAATTTCTATTGTGATCCTTTATCATTGGGAGCCATTGGAAAGTTAACGTTTTTGTTTTTGTTTTTCCACCTATAAGACAAGGATCCCTGTAACCATTTCTTCCCTTGTAGTGTGAGGATAAGTGGAAAAGATGTGGGGAAGGAGGGGAATTCCGCGCAGTGGGAACTGTGCGGGGCGCCCCCTGGAGGAAGTAGCTGTGCCAGGGTGCCACCACCCCTCCAACACAAGGTGGTGGTGTTCTCATACTGGCCACTGAAGTAAACTGGTTTTCTTTCTTTTTTTTTAAATAAGCATTGAATAAATGATTATGAACACATCCTCCCCACTAAAAGATATGGAAAAGCCATCAGTGAAGCCTAATTTGGTCTTCAGAGCAGTCCCGGGATTTCCAGCTGGTCAAACCATTTTCTTTGTCTAAGAAGTATGTTTTTTTTTTTTCTTAGATTGGGGTTCAAACTCAGGACCTTGCGCTTGCCAGGCAGGTGCTTCTGCCGCTAAGCTAAATCTCCAGCCCAAAGTCTATGATCTTTATGGGTTTAACTGACTTCCTGGATTGTTTTGATCCACTGTTAAGTGATGCTTGATTTCCTTGGCATTGTTTTTTAGGCCTGGATGAATGAGAAATTTGCCCCTGAGCTGCTAGAAAGCAAGCCTGAAATTGTAGAATGTGTCATGGAACAACTTGATCATATGGTAAGAGCTGCTTGGTCATTAAGGAAGAGAAAGTTCAAGCATTTGGTCAGCATAAAGGCTTGTCACATAGCAAATCTGTTTTGTTCTGCTCTGCCCAGGATTTTAAAATATTATTCATTAATTGTTACCTACGTTTACAAAACATGAGAGTTCCTGTAAACATCTCAATGTCAGCCTCAGTGGGAAGTCTAAAGACCTGATGTCACTGACACATTTCCACATGGGAACAGTTGGCCAGAGCAGAGTAAGAGCCACCCCTGGGAGTGTTCTCTGTTCCCCACAATCCCTGATTGCTCCCTGTACCCCATCACACCTTTCTCTTCCTGGCCTGCAGACATTCAGATCTTGGTCTTCAGCTCAGTTGATCTGGCCAAATGTCATCATCAACTTCAGTCTCTGAAAGTGTTGGTATTTTATGATTTTTCCAACAGTGTTTTAATACTGCTTTTTAGCTCCCTTAGACGTTTCCTGTCAGTGTTACACTATCCTTTACAGTTGGATCGGAGTCCTCCTGGACCCTGCAGGCTGACCATAGTAGGATCCTGCTCAGTCATTTTCTGATAGTAAATCAGTGTTGCTTGAATTTTATGCAGTGAGACTAGTCATATTTGTATAATTAAAAAATTAAAATGAGAATTCTTTTATGTTTAGTTTTTTGCTTTCCTTCAAGTGAAAGTCTTTGGGTTCTCAACTTTGCCAGAGGTGATGGTCCCTAGTCTTTGACCATCGTTTTTTTTTTTTTAATAAACAATAATTTCTGCCCCCTCCCCCCAGTCCTGGAGATGGAACCCAGGACCTTGTGCATGCAAGACAAGAGCTCTACCACTAGCCACTTCCCCTAGCCTATAATTTCTCTTTTACTAGGAAGAAAATCTCAGAAGAGCCAAGAAGGAAGACCTGAAGGTCAGTATCCATCGAATGGAGATGGAGAGGATCCGCTATGTCCTCAGCAGCTACTTGCGATGTCGACTCATGAAGGTTTGACACAGAGCTTCCTGTGGGCGTCAGGGCAGCCACGCGTGTAATGTAGACTGCATGTCCTGAGGGGACGATGGGCAGGAAGCCTGCAGATGCTGCTAATTAGCAGCATTGGTATAGCCAGTCAGGCAGGTGAGAGATGCTTTGGGAAGCACACTGAAACCTAGCTTGTACTGCACTAGGCACCTTCCACGATTACAGGCTGCTTTTCCCTTATGAATGAGAATCCCTGCAGTTACAATACGGCACTGCTGAGGGGCAGTCGTTTGCACTGGTGAAAAGGGAATGCTGACTAGGAGTTAAATGAGTTAAAATGACTAGTTTTAAAAATTGTTTTCCACCTGTCAAAATTGGGCATGATAATTTCACATTCTACTATAGTATTATGATACATTCTTATTTTGTTTGATTCAACTTAACCATTGCAAATTCTTTCTTGGAGTTTCTTGTTTTCATCTCCTTAGATATTACAAATCAAATACATTCTCTCTTTTACATGAAGTGCCTCCACCATCAGCCTACACCTCTCCTCTAGGTATTCTCTCTGGGAAACATTCCGCCTCTTTGAATCCATTTAATTTCCTGATCTCTTCCCTAAAAAGGCTCTTGTTTATCATACCCTGCATTACATGACCTGGGACACAGTGCAGTCTCCCAGGTATGGTTTGGCCCTTGGGTAAAATACGATGGTCACTTTTGTAGCTTGGAAGTTGAAGCTAATGTGACACCTCCAGTATCGTGTTAGTGTATTTGGCAGAGCAGTAGTCATAGCTCATTCTGCTTCCTCCTGACATGTGTCAGGTATAATTGCCCTGTCCAGTCACCATCCTGTCTGTATGCCTTGGATGTTGACCCTAAGTATACGCTTTGATATATGTACTTGTTAAACTTTGTTTTATTTTTTTTGTCTTTTTCCTTTTTATCAGTATGAGGGATCGAACTCACGACTGCCTGCTTGCAAGGCAGGCACTTACGCCACCAAGCTAAATCCCCAGCCCCTAAACTTTGTTTTATTAAAAAGGTCTATTTCCCTGGTCTCAACCCTGATCTTGTCACGTAATAGCCATCTCTTACTTCATCAGCAATTTTTGTCTTTTTTTTGTAAGCACCAATATTTTCGTGTCATAAAACATTGGCTCATTATTAGAACTGAGCCAAGGCTCGCGTGTGGCTTAGTGGACACACTGCTCACCTGTGCTAGGCCCTGCGTTCCGTCCCTAGCAGCCCAAAGTAAGTAACAGCGAGCCCGTGGTAAGAGGGTTTCACCAGGAGTTTTCCCGCAGGCTGGTGCCAGCCACTGCTGTGTTCTTCTGTATTATTATTATTTTGTATTTTTTGTTTTTAATTCTGGTACATTTTAGATATCGTGGAGAACGTGTGATAGGTGTTGTGTTTGTGATCTCGCTGCTTTTCTTTCCATTCTCTTCCCTTTTAACCCTTTCCCTCCTTATTTAGGGAAGTTTTGTTTGAATTTTTCTTTCTATTCTCCTTTTTTCTTGTCCCTTCTCCCTTCTCTTCTACCTCCCTTGTTCTCATGTGAACACTTCTTCCCACTCCCCAGTGTGCATTATACAGCTTTGTCCTTATTTATACTTTAGGTTTCTCACCCCAGAGAAACAATGTGTCCAACTTACTTCACTTGAGGGTATGGTCTCAGGGTGTATTTATTTATCTAGAAATGTCTCAAGCTTATCCTTCTTTATGGCATTGTATTAAAAAAAATCTTTATCCTTTGGTTGATATTGCCATTGTATTTTCTTTCTTTTCTTTTTTGGTATCGGGAATTGAACTCAGGACCTTGCGCTTGCCAGGCAGATGCTATGCCACTGAGCTGTATCCCTGGCCCTCGCCTGTATTCTTTATTCAACCATTTATGAACTTTTTACCTCATAGTATCACCCAGCCTCAGGTTTAGTTTGTCCACAGCAATGTCATAAAGACATTAAGATTTTAAACATCAGATTTTTAAAAAGCAAAAAATAGATATACAAGAAAAATGTGAAAGCAAAAAGATATAGGTGTGTGTGTGTGTGTTTACACGCCTGCGTACGTGTATGTACACAGAGTGCCTCCTCACCCCAGCTTCCATGGCCCCTTCTCCCACCCCCGGCCCTGGTCAGGTAACTCCTCTGTTAACCACCATACATCTTTTTCCTTGGCTTCACAGCCGTCTTAGAAGATCACCTGTTCTAACTTAGTGCCACTTACCAGCGTGAAGGCTGTTGATCTGTACTGGGGGAGAAGTGCTACCTTCTTTCTGTTTTGGAAAAGCAGATTTACCTGTGTCCAGCCTTCAACCCTCTTCTGATTTTAGTGATTCTTCCAAGCTCATGAAACTGCACCTATTATTAATGCACATAGTGATAGCGTAGCAGTTTACAGAGGACAGGACGAGAACAGCTCCATACAAGTGTTCATTGGTCTTCAGTCCCGACCTACATGGGTGAGTGCTGCTCCTCTTGCGCAGTCAGCACGGGAGTCACAGCACCACCCGCAGCAGGCTGCTCCTTCCTGCTCCCTGAATGCACATGTTTTCGTAGCTCTGAGCTTTTGCTCTGTCTGGTTATGAGTATTTTGGGGGTTTGTGTTCTTGTTTGGGGACAGTCGGCTTTGTTGATTGTTTAAGCTCCTAAACATTTTTTGCAAGCATCACCTCTTGTTTGGCTTTATTATTAAATATCATTGCTGTGTCTGCTTGTGTATTCTGTATCCATCTTCCCAGCTTCCGCATGTATCTCAGCCCCTCAAAGCACAGGTGGTGTTAAATGATGTACCTTTTCTTCAGGGTTTTTTATTTCTTTGGCGAAAGCCTGCCATTTGGAGCTATCTTCCTTTTCACAGCCTTTGTCAAATTTTACCTTTTACGGGGAGAGGGTGTGGGTATACTAGGGTTGAACCTAGGGCCTGGCATATGTTAGACCAGTGCTTGCTGCTAAACTGTGTCCGCAGTCCGTTCCCCTGACCACTTTGAGAGAGTGAGTGTGCTTGAGAGTGGCTGAGGCGAGAGGGTCGCAAGCTGGAGGCCAGCTACGTAGGAGGTTCCAGGCAGACTCCAGTGTGTAGGCCCTAAAAACATTGGGGAAATGAAGTGAGTATGTTTGACACTTGAATTCTGACAGCTGATACATGTTTTCATGACTTTTATTTTTCCTCACAGATAGAGAAGTTTTTCCCTCATGTTCTGGAGAAGGAGAAGACCCGCCACGAAGGGGAACCTTCCAGCCTCTCTCCAGAAGAGTTCACCTTCGCCAAGGAGTGAGTGAGCAGGATGTGGGCGGTGTCTCCGTCCTTGGCTTCGGCACTCAGTTTGATGGTGCCAGCGTGCCAGAGCCTCTTCCCAGGTGGTCCACTCATGGCCCTGTGCGCAAGGTGATTCGCCCTCTGTGTTTCAGGTACATGGCTCACACCGAGACCTACCTGAAGAACGTGGCCTTGAAGCACATGCCTCCTAACTTACAGAAGGTGGACCTCCTGAAGGCCGGTAAGCGGAGCTCGGCCCACATTCTCCGGGGCCAGGGCAGGGTCTCATCTTCATTCCTTTTTCTCAGATACAGAAAACTAAGTACTGAGGGAAGATCCAAGAGAGGAGAGGAGAGGGTCTGGTTAACAGAAGAAAGAACTGACAGCAGAAGTGGCCATTGCCGTGTGGTTGCTAGGTTTTCCCAAAGAGTCTGGAGCCCTGAGGCTGTCACTGCAGACAGACAGAATCACCTCACCTCACGTCAGGTGCACAGCGCACAGCATCCCAGCACCATCTGCTGTTGGTCTGTGGAGGGCAGGGCCTGTTGCCTCTGCTTACAGGGGCAGACTGTCCACCGTGCAGATTCCAGAATGCAGGAGGCCAGGAAACGCTGTGGCTCCCCGTTGCCTCTAGTAAGGGCCCCTCATCTCCTGGGAGAACTTCCACTAGTTAGGCAAGAGAGAGCAGGACTGAGTGTGAGACCAGGACAGCTGAGTCTCAGCCCCCTTTCCCTGGCCTCTGCAACCTCTGCCCTCAGGCAAAGAGCAGGGCCCTGGCTTGAGGACAGTCTGCTGTGTCTGAGCATGGCCAGTTGGTACAGTTGCCAGACTGGCTCAGACAGTTCCCCGGAGGCAGGGCCACACAGGCTCAGCTCCGTGTGCTAAGGCCACGGGTCTGCCTGCCTGCAGGATCACCTCTGCCCTCACCTAGACTAGGGCTCACCACAGTTCCTCAGTCCCTCTTAGCTGCTCACAGTTCTGAAGGCTGGCAAGTCTGGGTTTGAGGCACCGGGTAACTTTGGTGTCTGGAGAGAGCCTGTCCCACATTGTGGCTCCTTCTATGTATCCTCACAAAGTACAAAGGAAAAGAAGCTTCCTCGAGTAGTTCTGGCTGGCCTTAAGCTAGCAGCCTCCTGGGTGCTGGGATGACAAGGTATGCACCACCATACCCTGTGGGAGTCTCTTGTCAGATTGACGGCTCCTGAATCACAGTGCTCTTGTTAAGTACTTCTTAGTAGTAGGAGCACCTCCTGTTACTGCCTGTGTCACTCCCACAAGGCACCATGTCCTCTCATGTCACCCCAGTGCTGAGCATTAGCACTGCTCCCTCCCTAAGACCTTTGGGAACAGACCACTTTCACCTCACCTTTTTACAGCATTATTACCAGTGCTCTGCTAACTACTGCTGTTTGTAGGTTTTGTGTGTGTATGTGTGTGTGTGTACATATACATATACATAGTAAGTCCCCAGCTTACAAATGAGTTCCTTTGCGTCTGAACTTCCATTAAGTCAGATACATTCATAAGTCTGACAAGGTGAGGAGTTGTAGACACCTTTGATACAAATACGTGATGTACAGCATTAAAAACCAGACGATAAGCCATTTTTTACTTTTGTAGCCACCTTAAAGTGCTAGCATGGGGGGAGTACACAGAGGAGCTGCTGGAGGAGGGGGCTGGTAGAGTCATCCAGAGCACTACATCATTTTCCCAAGGAGGGAGGTCACTGACTCAGGAGCCTGTGTCATCAGCGTCAGAGGGGAGTGAAGTCCCGCCCTGCCCTCCACCCCTTGCTAGTGACCCCCTGCCCTTTGCCCCACAGTTGGTTCCTGCCACACTGCGCAGTGGGCACCTAGCAGCACAGACCTGTGAGCTACTCCAGGGTTTGTCCACACCCACGAATGTTTGTCACTGGAAGTCTGTTTATATGTGAGAGTTTGCACCTCGAATGTTCACATGTCGGACTTTCTGTGTGGGTTCAGTGCCATCTAGAGTTTCAAGTGTCCACCGCAGGGCTTGGCATGCTTCCCTTCAGGTCAGGCCACTGCCTGGCAGAGTTCCCACACGCTGTAAATTGCCTCCTCATTGAGTACGTGGTTTCCTGAGCAGTGGGCGTCTCCTCATGTCACCCTCCCAAGCCGCGTCCACATCGGGGTTCACCGTCCAGTGCCGAAACTCTTCCTGTGCACTTTCTGACTGCAGTATTGTTTTTCCTGGCAGTTCCCAAGCCAGATCTCGACTCATACGTGTTTTTAAGAGTGAAAGAGCGACAGGAAAACATACTGGTAGAACCCGAGGCAGATGAGCAAAAGTGAGTGACATCTGTCTTTCCCTTGGGAAATAACCCCACGGGACAGCCAAGCTCCGTGCTAAGTGCTCCCCCTTCTTCAGGGACTACGTGATTGACTTGGAGGAGGGCTCGCAGCACCTGATCCGGTACAGAACCGTTGCCCCTCTCGTTGCTTTGGGAGCAGTGCAGCTGATTTGAAGCTAACCGTGAACAAGCGTGAGGATCCTTCCTCTTCGTGGGGCCTACGAGCAGTAACAGCCGTGCTCCAGACAGCGGGCGCTCAGCGTGCTTTGCATGACCAGGATGCAGGAAAGGAGCCGCGCGGCTGCTGACCTGCTGTGAACACTTCCTGCCGCCTTGCCCATTGCTCTGTCCATGCTGCACTCCAGGCAAATAAAGATTCTTGTTCTACATGCCTTTCCCTTGCTTGGTATTTTTCAAGCTCAAAAAAGTGAGGCAAAGATAAGCTCAGAAGAGGCATCACTGCCTGCATTTGTGGGTGTATTTAGTTCTAACCGAGTGGAGGTCATTTAACCTTCCTGGTAGAAAATTGTGAACAGATTAAGGAAATCAGCTGTGGTCTACTTCTGCAGTACATCATTGCATTGCACGAGTTAATCCTGTGGGAAGTCCGTCATTGGACTGAAACCAGTTTCTGTCAGGCTTAACGGAAAAGCACAACTCGACCAGCAATGCCATGATTAAATCACGGTGGTGGCAGAGGAGCCTGTGGTCAACTCACAGCGTGGAAGCAGGTTCTCCCCACAGCCCTAGTGGGTTCTGGCAGCCTCAGCCCAGCTCCGTGTGCAGAGTAGTGTGGCTTTCCTAGTGTGTCTGCAGAAGTCGCTTTTCACGTGGAAGCCCTTCTCTTTCTCCAGGAAGACGCATGATGTGTCCTCATGTGCTTGTGGTGCCTCACAGTGACACCTGTGGAAGGACACACAGGCACCAAGGGGCTTGTACTTCAAATGTGAGGAGAAGTGGAGCTACTAATGCCGTGAACGCAGTACTCAGACAAATGTGGAAAAAAGCATGCTGTGTTCCAGTCTGCTTGATGAAAGGTCAGCTGACTTTCACTTAGGCATATCGGCAGTGGACTGTCACTGTCATTTCCAGGAGACAGCAAATGCAAGGAAATTTACTGCGTTAGAACCTTCCGCTTTTCAGGGTTTCTACACAGTATACCAGGTGCATGGGGTTACAACGACCTGCTCACTGAATGCTCAGTGCCTTGCAGAGAATCAGAGTACCCAGAGTACAAGGCAGCTGGTCAAAGATCCTAGCTGGCAAGAGAGGAGGTGGAGCGGGCAAGTGGGCCAGATCAGCAAGACTCTAAACAAAGATCCCGTGTGTCCTCCCAGCGATCTGAAGTGAGCACGTGGTAGGAAACAAAGCAGGTGTTTAGTGTGAAGTCTGAGATCAGAGCCCAAGTCTGCCATTGTGCCAAGCAAGCCAAAGTGGTCCCTCAGCTGTTGTCCAGGCAGCCCTGAGGCCTTCATGTGCACGCCAGTCTCCTGCTAAGATGATTGGGGCCAGAGGTGTAGCTGAGTGGTGGAGAGTGGTTTTTAGCCCCTCAGGGTGGATTCTGACTCAACAGGGCTGGGGTCTCAAATTCTGGGGAGCTGCAGACTGGGCGGTCATTTTAGCCAAGACCTGGCCATCGGGAGCAGTCACTGTTTCTCTGCTGACCCCACGGGATAAATTGTTCCATTTCCTAAGTTACTGCTTCACAGGAAGATCAGATTAGATGTGTCCTCCATAAATGAAAGGGAAATCAGACATCCAAACCAAGAGCAAAGGGAAAGGATGTGGCTCCACTGACCCTGATTTTAGCTTCCTCGTAGTATTTTGCTTTTATGGTAGAAACTTCCCCACAGAAAGCCAGACACTGTTTCATGGAATAATTCCGTTGTCTCTGTCTTGAGCCTGTCCCCAAGCAGCCCTGCTTTCCTGCGACACCTCCAGCTGTGTTACTGGTTTCTCTGCTGTGTCCACGCCATGCTGAGGCTTGGGGAGCTTTTAGAGTAAAATTTTAAGCAATCACTTGTATAGTCTTTATGTTTTTCGAGTAATGCATTTTGGAAAGCTAAATATCCAAAACATTTGGAACTCAATAATTGATGTTTAAAATATTTCTAATCAATAAGCTATGAAAGTACTCTATACCATCACCAAAAATTTTTTTCTGCCATACTGAGGGAACCAAAACAAAAACAAAAACCTTGTTTTTCTTTTTTTTTTTAAAGCAAAATCAATATTGTGTACTTCACAGATTTTGTTTCAAATAAGTTGGCTGTTTTTTACAAGGCTGACAAACACTTGCTAGGGGTGTTCAGAGGAGCATACTGTAGATTCTAAAGGTGACAAAGATAGTGTGCATTGAGCGTGTGCTCTGAATCAGGCTGTTGTGTCTTTGCATAGACTAATTTATGAATCTTCACAACAAAGTTCTGCAAGAAAGATTCAAGAGTTTGGAATGAGCAAAAGAGATTATTATCTTTTCACTGGATATATGCAGTATACTGGTACCTTTGAATGAGGTATATTACAGTTGCATAGAGGTAGAGTTTGATTTATAGAAAGCTTAATGTGACTATGCTATTCTTGTCCAGGTAAATGAAAATGAATTTTATCCCGTTGAGAATAAAGTCAAAATAACAGGTTTTAACCCTTTTGTAGTTCTCCATTGGATAAATAAATGCTGGTATGTGTTCATTTTGTGCCTGTGTTAGTCAAGAGTACTACCCTACAGATGTGACAGTATGGTGTATTTATCAGGTAGAGCTGATATCCCCTTTATAGAAGAGACTCATCTACTGAAGCAGCTCTTCAGTTGGGGAAGTGTGACAGGCCACCTGAGAGCCCAGAGCGCCAGAGTCCACCCTGCTGGATGTTTGCCCTGAGCTCAGTCTCTCCCCTGAGGAAAATCTAGAAATGCATTGAGCAATGATAATGTCACCAGAATGAGTTCCAGGCTTCCTAGAAGACTCAGCAGAAAGAAGAACTCCTACCATTCATACTACCTCAAAGGAGGTAGCATTTTCTTAACAGAAAAATATTTCTGCTTAGGCAGGCATGGTGGCATGCCACAGTGCTTACAAATTCTGCCTAACTTGCTAAATTACATTGTTCAAAATAACTGGAGCACACAATTACCTAAGTCTTGCTTCTCATCCTAAAAGGTTCTAATAAGTTCTTCATGATTAAAAAATACAAGTAAGAGAGGACATAGCTCCTTTGCAGCACTTGCCTAGGATGTGTGAGACTCTGGTTCAATCCCTAATACTCTTAATAATCCCTTATCTCTTGTAAGAGAGAGGGGTAAATTTTTTTTGCCCCCAAGCATTATACGTGAATCCTAGGAAGATCCCTCAAGTATAAGCCTGAAAATAAATTTTGTTTAGCTCACAGAACATTTCTAAGAATGTTGAAAGGCACTCGGCTTGGTGGCACATGGCTGTAATCGCAGGACTCTGGGAGTTTGAGGCGAGATGATCAAAAGTTTGAGCCTGCCCTGGGTGACTTGGCAAGAGACCTTGTCTCAAGATGAAAATACAATAGCAGCTGAAGAGGTAGCTCAGTCAAATACCCCGGGCTCGATCTGAGTAAAAAGGAAGAAAGGAAGAGGTGGGGTGGGGGGTGGACAGAAAAGAAAAAGTTATTTTCAGCCAAACATGGTAGTGCACAGCTCTAGACCCAGCACTTGAGAGTTTGAGGCAAGAGGATTACTGTGAGTTCAAGGCCCACCTGGGCTACCAACTGAGTTCAAGATCGGCCTGAACTGGGCCGGGGATATGGCTCAGTGGTATAAGTATTGCCTTTTATGCACACCGTCTTGAGTTCGGTTCCTAGTACCAAAAACAAAAGATCAGCTTGAACTGTAAAGTGAAACCCTGTCTCAAAAAGATAAAAAATACACATAATATATATTTATGTAATATATAAACTTTATAAAAATATGATATTCATATAATATATTTTTCCTTGCACTAAAATCCTTGCATATAAAAGGAAGTTTCATCCTCTTCAATAGGGGACCCATTTGGTATTCAAATTTGTTCCCAACCCAAATAAAAATTTTTTTAAATTTCAAATTGCTGCTTACTTCTGAACCTACAATCTTCCTCAAACTTAATTCTGTTGTTGTAGTTATTCACCACATAGTTCAGGCTGGCCTTGAACTCATTTTGTCGCCCAAAATGGTTTGAATTCAAGATGATCCTCCTGTTTCAGCCTCCTGAGTGCTGAAATTACAGATGTGTGCCACCACACCCTGCTACAGATACAATTCTTACTGTTACAGGGTTCAGGACCACTCCAGACAAAAGGCATGGCACTAGAGGAACTTTGGAAGGTTTACAGCTTTATTACGATGCTGAGCTGAAGGAAATCTCAGTTCCAAATCATCAACCCCATCTTGAAGTTAGTAGTCACTTATATAGGTTTTCACAAGGAGGTACAAAGACAGATAACAAGATATTCTATAATTGGTTACATAGGTTGGATCATATGCTGTCAAGCAGACTTACTCCGTGGAAGGTAACTGAGGTTACTATCATGTAATGGCAGGGTCAGCATCGTAGTGAGCAGGAAGAATCAGTCACTGTCTTTAACTGAGACAGTCTGTCCTGAGAACTTGAAAGCAAGCTAGAATAACAAGATACACTGTCTGGCTGAGTTACATTTATCTTACAAGTTATAGCTGGCATGGGGGATATTAAGGTTTAGCTGAGTTTTGTAGTTTTTAATTTATGGGAATAGCCTATACTTCTCAATCCTAGTATTAGAAATAAAAGGTTTTATTTTTGTTTGTTTTGTTTTGTTTTTGAGACAGGGTCTTACTTTGCAATTCATGCTGGTCTTGAACTTGTTTATGTAGCCCAAGCTGGCCTGGAACTCAGGGCAATCCTTTTGCCTCAGCCTCGCGAGTGCTGGAATTACAGGCATGTGCCACCACACTCAGCTAGCAATCAAAGTCGTTAAATTTCCTTTACATTCAAAATTGCCTTTACATTACCGTTTCATTGCCTTTCCCCCTCCCTTTCATCACCTTTCTTAAAAAGCTTCAGTGGCTACCCTCTACCCCAGAATGGAAAGCTGTGAAGATGCCTGCTTTCTCAGCATCATCCTGGAGGAGGGCAGCGTGCTGTCCACAGCGACCTTGTTCAGCCCGAAGTAAGCTCAGTCTCTCAAGTGGACCCAGCTCTCTTGCCAAACAGTGCTTTCACTTCTGCTCTTCTCTCGTTTTATACCGACAGTCCTACCACTTTACACTTATTAAATTACCACCACATTCTTCAGAGAATGAAGATCCAGATTTTCACAGTAGTGAAAAGAAAAGAACATGTGGCTGTGATGGGCAGGTGTCATGCCTGTAGTCTAACTTCCGGGGGTCACAAAAACAACCTGAAGA